CCACCGTTGTGGTATGGTCGATGGAGTGGCCCGCCCTTGTCGTGCGGAAGTGACATGCCGGTCATACTTTCGGTCTTGTGCGTCGGGGCTCCGATGCGACGGCTTGATGCGGAGACATGGCGGGCGACGTCTTTCGCCGCCGTAATGACGTCGTGAGGGAGCAGCGGCTCTGCAGATGCCGAGGCCGAGCCATCGTGGGGGGGCTCGGTGGTCATGGACCCTCGTGCCGCCGAGCCCGTGAAAGCAAACTGTCGAGGCCTTGGGGGAGTTATTGGCCCTAGGTACGATTCCGAGGCCACAAGAGCCAGACGTGGCTCCCCATGCTGCGTTGTCCTTGGAGCAGGAGTTGGCGGCCTGAAGGAGGCATGGGTGTCAACCATGTGCACGGTGGATAGCATAGTGACGGGTAACCCCCGCCCACCGGGACGTCACAGTCATCGCGTGATGACGTCGTGAGGGGCTGTGGCTCAGAGGTGCCGAGGCCAAGCCATCGCGGGGCTTTGGCGGACATGGGTCCTCGGGCCGCCGAGCCCTCGAGCAAGCTGCCGAGGCCTTGAGAGGAATTATTGCTCTCGGTACGATTCCGAGGCCACAAGATGGCTCGATGTGGCTCCCCACGCTGCATTATCCTCGGTGCGGGAGTTGGCGGCATAGTGAGGCATGGGCGCCAACCCATGTGCGCGCGGTGGTTAGTACATGGGCGGGTAACCCCGCCCATCCCCGCCTCTGTCCCATCGGCCATTCTCATTGCATCTTGTCAGCGGGCATGCGGTCATTGTCGAGGGCAGCGAGCTGGGCTTGAGTTGATGCGACACGACGTTTTGCCGGAGGGACGGGAGAAGGAAGAGGTAGCGGAGTCTTCTGCGAGCCCGCCTTGCGCGAGACGGAGGGTCGGTGGCCTCGGCCGAGGCCTTTAGCGGGGAATCGACCGAGGCCCGCGGTGAGGGGCCTCGGGCGAATCGGAGAATCGGTGAGAGGTCCATGGTGATGAGGCCTCATGAAGTCGGAGAATCGGCCGAGGCCCAGCGGTGATGGGGCCTCGGGCGAGTCGGAGAATCGGCCGAGGCCCGCGGTGATGGGGCCTCGGGCGAGTCGGAGAATCGGCCGAGGCCAGCAGCGTTTAGCTGGTTTCGATCTTTACGAAATCTAAGCAGTCGTTTTTTGGATCTTGCTTAGGGTACCCCTTCTCACGGTATCCGACACCTGTTTTTTGACCGTTGTCAACCGTTTAATTTCTGTTTACCCCCTAAACAAAACAGTTTACTACCGTTTACCGTTTACTGACCGTTTAAACGGTCGTTTAATCCATTTAGGCGAACACTGCTAATAGGTATCACACACCTAGCCAGCACTTGGCGCCGCAAGAACCTACCCATAATTGAGGTAACTCAATGACACGGGTAATTTACTAGAGTTACCATTCGACTCTTCGCCGAGGAAGGTACAAGACCCATCACAAATTACTGGGAGACGGCCACAAACAATCACCAACTCATGCCGATGCTCCTTCGCTGCTCCAAGCCATCTAGGTGGCGGCAACCACCAAGAGTAACAAGAAATTCACAGCCACAACGATCTCTAAGTGCCACTAGATGTAATCACTCAAGCAAATGTACTAGGAATCACTCTTAATCTCACTATGATGATAAATCAATGATGGAGATGAGTGAAAGGTGTTTGGTTAGGCTTACAAGGATGTATCATAGGTGAAAATATTCAAGAGAGTGAGCCTAAGGCAAAACACTTCTATTTATAGAGCCACAAGACTCAGAGCCGTTTGGAGCTCATAGACACGACCGGACTCACTGTCTAGACGCACCCTAGCGTCTAGTCATCAGTGTCCGGTCCTTCGATGCCTGCCACGTGTCACTCCTTTGAATCCCACGTGTTAGATCTCCAACGATCAAGTTCTCATGCATTACCACTTTAGTTACGATCGGACGTGACCCTCGAACGGCCGGACGCTTGACCACCGCGCGTCAAATCGACTCTAGAAACTACACCGAGAGGTTTTTCTCAGAACGGACACATCAGGTCAGAGGTGACCTGACGCACCCTAGCATCCACTCCTCACTATCTCACTCGTTGTGTCACTGAGCTGCCTACGTCAATGAACGTCACTTGCGACCGGACACAACCACTATGTGTTCGGTCGCGCTGCCGCTCCAGTGTCCGATCGACACCTCGCGCTACGCCTCCTCTAGACCGAGTGACCGAACGCAACCACCGCGTCTGATCCCAGCATCCGATCACACTGTGGCCCTCTCGGCCAAGTCTACACCACCTCGGGTTAACTGACCGGACGTGTTCGATCATACTGAGACCAGTGTCCGATCACGTGCAGTGACCCCTTTCGCAAAATCTAACTCCTCAAACTCTTTACCCTTGCTTCCAAGTTGCTAACCACAATGTGTATAACTTGTTTGCACGTATGTTAGCATTTTTCAAAGCATTTTATAAGGGTCAATTGTTAGCACACTAGGTCCCTAATGCATATGCAAGAATCATGTCACCTAGTGGCACTCGATAACCGCTTAGCCAAAAATTTCTCCTCTTTATAGTATGGCTATCGATCCTAAATCACTCACACCCTTTATGATGTCTTAAGTACAAATAAAAAATGGCTCCTATCATTATACCTTTGCCTTGAGCCTATTTTTGTTTTTCTCTTTCTTGTTTTCCAAATGTGAAGCACTTGATCCATCTTTTTGTGGCCATCACCTTCACCATGACCATCATCTAGCTCCACCACTTGGATTGGACTACCTTATCTAATTCACACACTTAGATCAAAGGTTAGTCCTAGGGTTTCATCAATTATCTAAAACCAAACTAGGACTTTCACCCTTGCACGTGTCACGCCCGCTCATGTAGTCTTGTGTGTCCCACTGCGTAGGTGACAACGCATCCGCACAGTCGTCGTGTCCGTGGAGCCCTTGGATGGGAAGCCATGAAAGCCTACTGCCAAGGATGTGCCTTGCTGAGGAGTGAGGATGCGACGCACTAGAAACTACTACGTTGTATGGTGCAGTTTCTAAACGTGATTTCTTGCCGACTCCTCTAAGCTATAGAAACTATGTAGTTTTAGAGTTGGGACTCTTCTAAGCTCAAAATGGTAGTGCTAGCGCCGGGACATCTAGACGGACACGCGTGTCCAGATGCTCGCGCCTGCTGCACGCCCATACCTCCGCTTACTGCATGTACAGACAGGGACTGCCCGTGTTGCTTCATGCACTTTCTTGCTTCCCACGCCCTCTCCTCCTCGCGCTTCCCTGCTGCACCATTCCCTTCCACTCCTGTGGCGTCGCTCCCTTGCTTCCCACGTGCATGTGGGGACTGCCTGTGCCCCTACTACCATCCCCCTCCGCTTTCTACACGAATGCACGGTGCCCTAGCAGCTGCAGCAGATGGTTGTGGCAGGTGGGTCACATTGCAACATGTGCAACACCGTATCTACTTCTAGAACATCCAGATAAAACACTTGCAACATATCTAAAAAAAACAGCTAAAACACTTGCAAATAGACGTCTGAGACACTTATAAAAACGCCTGAAACACTTAAAAACACGTGAGTAGCCATTGCAAAACATATGCTACGTCCAGATAAAACACTTACGACATACGTATAAAATACTTGAAACAAATGCTTGCAACATGCATGTTATGCAACATCTAGATCTACTTCTGCAATATTTAGATGAAACACTTGAAACATAAGTCTGAAACACCTGAAACCCTCGAAACATATGCTTGCAACGTGCATATATTGTCATTGCAACGTATGCAACATCCTAGATCTACTTTTGCAACATCCAGATAAAATACTTAAAACATCTATCTGAAACGTTTGAAACACTAGAAATACGACATCGCGGGGCAGCCATGACCTACGTGGTGAGGAACTACGGTAGCTTGCAAGGTCGGGTCAGGGGGACGTCGAGAACAACGGCCCAACGTACACCCAGGCGTAGGAGCACTGGCGACGACCTCCTCCTGGTGGCGCTGGTGTGGTGGTGACGCGGTGAACGTTGTAGCCGCGATAGGTGAGGTGGGATAGCGGTGTGACGAGAGATGGTGTCCCGATGCGAGATGGGTAACGATGGGGGACGACAGTCACAGCAAGGCAGAGTGGGCTCGGGCGAACGGCGCGTCACGGCCACGGTGGGTGGATGGCGCGGTGGAGGCAGCCGCTTCGCGCAGACGGCGCGGTTGAAGCGGCCGCTACGATCAGGAGTGTGGAAATGCTTCGAACAACACGTAGGAGTTAGGGAGGCAAGAGGCTGGTTGCCTGGGCCGGTCTGCAGGCTCAATAAGCAAGCATTCGAGCTGGATGGATGCTCGGGTGTAAGCATTAGCATAACTTATTCAATCCTACTACTAGGTGTACTAAAACAAGGGCTACACGTCCACGTGTCGAAACCCTTTTTGACCTGCCTTGCCACCTGGTGACTTGAGTTTGACTCCAACAGTTCCCGTCCACACTATACTATTGTACTCCCGCCTCATTTGATTTGAGATTTGACCATCGCCTCCGCTTCCGCCTCGTCCCTCCCGCCGAGCCCGATCGACCTCCCTTCCGCCGCACGCCGGCTTCCCTCCTCCTCCGCGCCCCGAGGCCGCGGGCCGCGGCCGCGTTGACCCCCGCGCCTCCTCCTCCTCCACCACCACCACCGCATCGCCCCCTTTACGTCCTCCCCAAGCCCCTTCATGCCGTCGAAAGGCATCTCCTCTCCCCTTTCCCCACCGCCCGCTTCCCCCACCGCCTCTCCCTTTCCTCCCCTCCGTCTCTTGACCTCCAGCCACCGCCAACTCCGCCGGACGCCGCTCTTCTTGATCTGGCGCCGGACGGCAGGAGGCCTCCTCCTTGCAGGTAACGCCAGCTTGTTCTCGTTCGTTCGATGATTTCGATCATGTCCACGGACTCGTGCATGCTGTGCCCGCCGCTGGTGTCCTGATGGGATGGGGGTGGACGCGTTGCAGTTCCAGGTCCGGCGGCGTCCATGTCACTGGAGTTCAGGTCCGAGTGCGATGACATCGAGGAGGCCAAATCCCCCAGTAACACAAGCGTCGCCGCCGTTGCAGTCAAGAACGCCGACGCCTCGGTCTACAAGATCATCCACGGCTACCTCAAGCAGAAGAACAACTCCATCATCAGAGTCGCCGCCAATGTCGCCAGGAAAGCGGCCTCCAACAAGTACGATTAGTAATTAACACCCCGCCCAATTTCTCTGTGCTACGTGCCTACGTTCACCCGGGAATTGTTAGTTTACAAATTGGCCAATCGCTTCGCGTGATGTGTCCAGATTATCGAGGAAGACATCTGATGTCTTCGACACCTTGCTTCAGAAGCAGCAGAGCAAGTTGGGAAACAAGGCCGGGCCGTTGCTTTCTGGGATCTGTTACTGCATCGCCTCCTGCAGCATGATATTGCTCAACAAGGTGGTTCTCTCCAGTTACAACTTCGATGCTGGAATATCACTGATGCTATACCAGGTGATTCGGTTTATTCTGCGGTTTATTCATGCGGCTTGAGATTTTGTAGTTCAATGCCAAGCAACTGATCATATTTCCCTTTGTGGTTCAGAACCTTATAAGTGTGGTCATTCTTCTGGTACTTGAGCTCTTCCGTGTCATTTCAACGGAGGAACTCACATGGAAGCTGATAAAAGTCTGGATTCCGGTGAATCTTATTTTCATCGGCATGCTACTAACTGGAATGTACAGGTACTTCCTGCTTCAGACTGCGTATACATGTTACATGATGATCTGTTGGTAACCTTTAGGTGGATTAAACCTGGAAGGCAAATGTCACAGTATTCCACCTTTTTTTTCATTTCAAGTTTAGTTGTCTCAGTTCTGAAGTATACTTTATTGGTATGGTAGGCTTGAAGTATTGATTAGCCCTCCTTTTCTTTTTGTCTCTGCAATTCTTCAGTTTGAAGTACATAAACGTCGCAATGGTGTCAATATTAAAGAACATGACAAATATTATAACGGCTATAGGAGAGATATATATATTCAGGAAGGGTCAGAATAAGAAGGTTTGGGCTGCACTGTTTCTGATGGTAGGTTCATTCTTGCTTGCAATGCCCCTTCTTTGACTTCCATATATCAAAGTAATGACTTCACTATTGACCTTCACGAAGATTTTACCTCCAGAATAGCATGAATTTTTTTTACCTGAGCAGTTTATGTCTCTCTTCCTTTGCAGATTGTATCGGCTGTATATGGGGGGATTACAGATCTCTCTTTCCATCTAGTTGGCTATACGTGGCAAATTCTGAATTGCTTTTTAACAGCAGGCTACTCGGTTAGTTCATCTTGTGCTAGTAGTTTTACACATCAGGTCTTTTTACAATCTCAATGGATTGCTGTGCAGAGGTTGCTGTGATGTATTCGAATCTTTGACTTTTAATTGTATAATCAATTAGTTCATATCATAATTCCTTAAAGTCCATAATCAACATAAGAACAATATAAAGCTTAATTGAATCTTATTAATTATTTTTTTATGAGGTCAACCTTATTAGTTCTGCTGTGTCCCACCAGCACCTCTAATGTGCGATCCTTTTATAACAGCTTACACTAAGGCGTTTGATGGATACAGCTAAACAATCAACAAAATCTGGCTCCCTCAATGAAGTTTCTATGGTGTTACTCAACAATGCGCTCTCAATTCCATTCGCACTCATTTTGGTTGTAATCTTCGATGAGTGGGAATATGTTTATCAAGCGTAAGAATTTCATCTTGTTCCATGTTAACCATACTTTTTTTAAATAAAAATAAACTTTCATGGTGTGGACTAAGTACTTGGTCTGAGCCGTTTGTTAATGTATTCATGTATCTATTATTTCTTTTTTCGAGGCCTGAGCATTTTAGAGTAGTTAACTCTATTGATTTGATCATAGACATGTTTTTTGGAAGCAGATCATAAACATATTATGCATTAACTTTTACCTGTTTATTCCAGTTTAGTCAAAACATATTAAACTTCATTTCGTCATACTCCACATTAAAAATAAACTTCCTTTCATAAAAAAGCTTTCTGAATTTGCTCACAAAAGATGCTTTAATCTCTGAGACCAACTTTTGGGAACGAGCACTGGCTTGTTTGGTAGAGCGCTCCAATTGAGAGCGACGCCACCCAGGCTCGAACCTAGTGCCCCGCCTCCTTTCTAGCGAATTGCCAGTACGCCCTGGCCTATCTTAAAAAAAAAAAAAATCTCTGCGACCAACTTAAATATGAAGTCAAATGAGATGCACCAAGAAAACTAACATTTTTTTATCATCACAAATGGTTGCCTCTAGGGTACAACTATCACTGTCCATGCTTCTTCATTTGCACATATATATGACTTTCATTTGATTTGCAGTGAAGTTATCAGAGAGCCGATGTTCTGGGTTGTTGCAACAGCTAGTGGTTTGCTAGGTCTAGCCATCAGCTTCTCATCAGTGTGGTTTTTGCATGAGACTGGTCCAACAACGTACAGGTGAGACGGCAGTACTAATCTGTGGCGCCCACAAAAATGTTTACTTAAAAAAGAGAAGAGATCTGCACTCCTGTGAGCAGAGAAGTCCTTATCATTTTGTTCTCTTTTTCAGTCTTGTTGGTTCTCTGAACAAGATACCCATTTCGATTGCTGGTATTTTGCTGTTCAATGTCCCTGTAAGCGTTGAAAATTTCTGTAGCATAGTTTTTGGTAAGTATTTATTTGGCCCATGATATTTTTCTAATGTCCTTCTTTTTACCCATGTTACCCTAACGTTGTCACATTTCTGCATGTTCTCACCAGGTCTTTTTGCTGGGATATTCTTTGCAAAGGCAAAAATGTCCTAATTGTCCTGTCCCTGTGTGGTTGTAAGCTGTAACATGAAAAGTTCCTGCGACAGCTCTGCCTCTGTGTACTAGAGAACTTCACTACAGCTTACTGAATAAACTTATTCTACGCCACTTTTAAGTCAATAATAATATAATTATGACGCTATATATATATATATATATATATATATATATATATATATATATATATATATATATATATATATATATATATATATATATATATATATATCTGGATTCAGTAGAGTCCATAATTCCTAAACTGTAAAATTGTAAATTGGCACAGCAAAGCCAATCGATACTTGTTCTCAAGTTACTATTGCTATACCAAGAGTAAAGTACGATGGGAGACAAATCAAACATGGTCAGCTAAGTAGCTTAACCATTGTAATAACCCATTTGTCATATACTTAGCTGGGAAAAAAAGAATCACAGGTGCAGCGGGAAGTAAAGTATATTACATTATATGACATCAAAGATCACTTGAGTTTTTGGGGGAGCGAGAGTAACCTCACACCACCACACGTATATATGCGCAGCCAAATTTTTTTTTCCCCAAAAGCCAAATCCAGCTTTGAGTTCGACAATCCATAAACCACGCACACTTGACATGTTCAGCTGCTTTTCTTGGCGAAGAACCCGCCGAGGGCGCCGAGGTTGAACCCGCCGCCGCTGCCGCCATCGTCGCCGCCGGCAGCCTTCTTGCCGGCGGTGGTAGCGGCGCCCCGCGGCGGCGGCTTGGCGCGGGAGGCGGCGGCGGCCGGCGCGCCGCCAACCTTGTTGAGGAGCGGGTCCGTCTCCACCAGCTGGTCCTTCTTGAAGATGAAGCCTAAGATGATCTCGCCGAGCCCCTTCTCCTCCTTGGCCGGCGCCGGGCCGCCCCTGGTGGCGGCGGGCGGCACGGCCAGCACAGACCGCCGCGCCGGCCGCGTCCTCCCCGAGGTCGGCGCCACGGCCACCGCCACGGTGCTGCCAAACGCCACCGACACCATGCTAAAAGCTAGCTTCTTTGCGAGCGATCGGGAACTCGGGATGAAATGAAACAATGGTCTTTTTTTTTTCTCCGTGAGGCGGCGAGGGGTGGGCATATAAGCAGGCGTGGTGACTGGGTGGTGGTGGTCGTGATGGGGAGGGCGAGGCGGCCACAAGCGGCTTATCCTGCACGCTGCCGCTGTGGGGTGGGGGTGCGGGCAGGCGCAGCGGACGTGGTGAGGTCGGCGCGCGCGCGCGTTGCTTGCTGCCGCGACTGCGAGGAGCCGATCGGGCCGCGGAAACAGCGGAGGTGGACGTGGCTGGACCACGGGCACAGGTGCGGCGGGCCAAGTGGCCGGGGCGCGCGAGAGGACCGTGTGCGACGCACGTACGTAGTCTTGTCTTGGCCTCTTTGGGGCAGTCCGGGGGGCGATTCGTCTTGTTCTTGTTCTCAACCTTTTTTTTTACAACAAGTCTTGTTCCCAACTTGAGCGCAAGTACCGGCGCATACGACTGGAACCACTTGTGTTTTTCAGCGGAGACGCAGTGCTGCACTGCATAGGCAAAGTGCGTTTTTGAGTTTTCAGCGTCCTGTTCGTTTGGACTTGTTTGATTTATAAGCCATGGCCGAAAGTACTGTTGGCTGGTTTGGTGTGAAAGAAAAATATTATTCGTTGACTGATAAGTCATGGTTTATAAGCCAAATACGACCAAGCGAACAAGATGCAGATCGATGTACAGCGAGCGTGGTTCTACTTAGGATTAGGAGTACATACAACAGACTTCAAATTATGAATTCGATTCATATTAGGTTGCTTTATCAACTTCCGTTTTCGTATTTAGTTGAAGAAATCGGTTCGACACAAAAACAATAATTGTGCAGAAAATAGTGCCTCCTAGCGATTGTTGTGTGTTGTGTTATACTCTCTCCGTTTCAAATTATAAGTCGTTTTGACTTTTTTGGTTCATCCATTTTTCTATGTATCTAGACATATTATAATACATAGATGCATAGCAAAATAGATGTATCAAAAAAGTCAAAGCGACTTACAATTTGGAACGAAGGCGTCTAATTCAGAGCGGTGGAATACCTATGCATTGCAATAATACAGAGTAGAACTCAACACATGTTTCTAGGTAATTTAAAATACAAACTACTATATATCATATAAAGGTTAACATCATAAGGCATAAGAACGGGGGTTCTCATCGTTAAAGAAAACCTTTCTTGCCATAACCATGTATGAGGATAGCGATGTCTCATGGAATTTGATTATCAGACTTCGCAGTGCAAGACAATACGAGCAACCACTTTAAGTTTTTTCCCTTTAGTAGTTGAAAAAGGAGGTTGTTGACTGGTTATTTTGAGATGTATCTTTAGTCCGAGATTCTGTGTTGCTTAAAGCATACTAGGTCACATTCTTCCTTCCTTATTTCTTTTGCAATAGTTGTGTAGCGCCTTGTTATATACTGTAAGTTGGAACTTTTATTAAAAAAAACTCCCTTCACCTAAAAAAACATATAGTAAAAATAGAACTTGTCTACATAGGAGACTACCAAAATTGCTACAAATGGATTGTGTAGGTACACCCATAGGCCATGGCTTCAATAATTTCATTCCCAATGCCACCTAAGTTGTACTAACGTGTAATCTTGTCGAGCTAATCATCAAAGGCTTTTTCTTATAAAGTGTGTATTTGCCTTATATTTCTCTATGCAAACTCCCATTATGAAAGAAAAGAAAGAGTAATGTGTAGTAGTTTCCTTTGACCAGTTTAGCTTTGCATATAACTCTATATAATACATTCTTTATGCCAACTTGAAAATGTCCTCATCTCTTTGGATAAATGCTATTGACGTGGTTGAATAGTTTGCAACAGATACTAATGTCATAAGGATCGCTATCTACAACAGTAGGACCATTAACTTTAATAGGATTTAGGTCGTAGCCATATCTTATAGTTCTTGTATTGAGAACTTAGACGAGAAAAAGATTATCCTTTATCACCGACCACTACTATCTACCTAAGTTTGATCCTAAGTAGCATATAAGTTAGGATGGTTACTCTATTTCTAGGATACTTGTCCAATGCCACTAAGATTGTACTTTGTAAAAGGTAGCCTCAACTATTCAATGAAATTTCAACAAACATGTGACAATGTACTTCGAGAAAATCAACTAATTTTAGAACATTTGCTACAAATCAACATGGCTAACTAGTTGTCGTTGTTTTCCATCCATTATTAATCATTATAGAGAAGACCACATCGTTCGACTGATGATCTAGTGGTGATATCCATAATACAAATGTTGCACTAATCATCATTGATATATTCGCCGATCTTATCACTAATAGATCATAGAAAAACTTAATCATTTCATATCAAAATTCCACATCATGTCAACAAGCACGAGGCAAAGTATTTTGTGACAACACTTACTTTAGATACTTGTGTATCCAAGCCATGACTGGTTTTACAACATTGACTATAGATCGACATGCACGGTTTGTCATCATGAGTTTACTAATGTACCTTTGGAAGGACCGAATGATCCAAGAGGGGGTGTGAATTGGGCTCTAAAAACTTAAAGCAACGATAATCTTAACTTATGTAGATCTACTTCACCCTTTTGCACTAAGGAACCTAAGACTAAAAAGATCACACTAAGGAGTCCTTTGGCAAGGTTCACACTAAGAGTAGGATTCTTAAGTGTAAAAAATAAACCTCTCATTAAGCATACTCTAAGATACAATCCTATTTATCACATAAATGAACTTGCACACAACAAGAAGCAAGACATAAACCTAGGGATGCAACCGGGTTTGTCCGCAAACCCGCAAGTAGGCTTAACTAAGCCTGTTTGCAGGTTTGCAGACAAACCCACTCACATCCCTACATAAGAATAAGACATGCAAGTAATGCAAGAACATAAAAGAGGCAAATATATAACTTGATTTCCCCATAGTATCAAATTGTTGCCACAACCCCCTATTTTATGTTGGAGCACCATAGAGTCACAAAGACTCTATTTAGCTCCTTGAGTCACAAAGTTTCAAGTCTTCTTCATTGGTGCATACCCATTGTCCACTCTAGAACGACGGCTTCAAACCGTGAACACCACTAGGAGCCTCCCAATAAGAAACTCCACTGGGAAGGTCACCTAGTTCTCCACCAGACCATCTAGGTGCTAGTAAACACCAAGAGTAACTATCTTCAATGGCACTTTGATGAAAACAAAGCTAAGAACACCTGATGCACATAAAAGCACACACTCCAAGTTAGTAATCTAAGCTTGGATGGATCACACACACTTCACAAAAGTCCCTCTATATTAGTCTGACAACCGAGGTGAAAGAGTAGCTCCAAATAAGTTAGGGAAAGTCACATATATAGTGTGTGAAGGTCATGCTAGCGTTTGGAAAAAGTTTGTAGACACCTAAAATCTCTGGATGATCTATCGGGCATCATGGAGTCATACCAGATCATATAGATCATATACATTTTTCAATGGTCGAGAGGGAATTGAATATGCCTCACTAGATGATTTACGGGTGTCACAAAGTCACCACCAGATTATATGATGCGATCTAGTGACTTGGCCAACTTGATACATAGCCGAGGCACACTGTCACTAGATCATCGTCATGAAGTCTCCACCGGTTCATACAGTACATACCACCAACAGAATCAAGGAAAGGCCTCATAGGATGATCCGCTTGGGTGTCATGAAGTCACCACTAGATCATACGTCACATACGAGTGAGTTTGGCACTTGACACATCACCAAGGGTGGGCCTCACCGGATGATCCACTAGGGTGTCATGAAGTCACCACCAGATCATATATTGATCGCTTAGTTACCAAGGCCAAATTTGAAATTGACTATGCATAGTGCCACATGATGATCCACTGGGTAAGTGTATACCAATCATCCGGTGCACTCTCCACTACATATTTTGAGCTCATTTTAAGTCTAATCTCACTCAATTCAACTTCTTTAAGATCCTTGGCTTAAAACATATCTAGTGGGGCCACTTAGGTTCTTACTTGGTGAGAATGCATGCACATCCAAATGCTCTCAACTCGAGCTCCCATCAACTTGCGTGTCTTGGACGCCCATTATAGTACCACCAAAGGAAAAAAGCCCTATATAGCCTATGTCAAGTGCCTCCAAGCACCAAGCTTGCGCTTGACTCTATAGAGTTCTTAGCCTTTACAAATATCCTTTGCTTCATACCTGTCATCCATTCAGAGCATCCTCGATGATTAGGAAACCATGTGGCCAGAAGTGATTAGCTCAATGTGAATGTATTCCTTGCAAAATACAGGTTAGTCACAAGCACTTGTATTCATCAATCAGAAAAAATCCCAAATTTGAAAATGGGGCCTGGATCTATTCAACCTTGTAAATTATGAGGCCTAGAAATTCTACAAGATATAATCAATCAAGTGATGTTATATATAAGAACATAATCTTTATATTAATCACTATAGATATATATAGGTGACTTCATGCTATCTCTTCTATCTAAAGGCTGCTGACGTTCTTGACTTGTCTGATATCACATATACCTCAAATTTTAGTCAATGTTTCACCATAAAACCCTGAAGAATGCATGAAAGTATAGGATCTTTGGTTAGTCTAGAGGGGAGATGAATAGGCCTGTTAAAATAAACTTAGGCAAATGTTAAATTCCACCTAGCGGCACTGCCGCTCTGCGGCACTATCGGCCCAGAACAGCGGCATTGCCGCACTTGCAGACCACTTCGAGGCACAATTCAAAATCTATGTATGAAAACTTAGATTAGTTAAATTACTGAGGTTCTTACAGGCATGTAGTTCACATATCGATAGCTACAAGTGGTAGGCACACCATACACAAGTAGATCGGACATAAACCCTAGAAATCACCTCAACAACAATATGAAATGCAAGTGAAGAAAATTAAGCACAAGGTGACACAAGAATTTATTCCATGGTTTAGCTCACCACCAAGGCTTGCCTAAGTCCATATTATTGAGGTTAGTCACTAAGGCTTAGGGCTTTGCAACCCTTCTCGTTCTCAAATCAAGAGGGTTAACTCTTGAGATGAGGGGTGAGTTGACTAGCTTCAAGAGATGGTTACAAACCTTCCGGGACTACCACACAAGTTGGCAAGCTCCACGGGTGACGCTCTAGCCGGCTAGGAGCAAGCTCCAAGAGTAACAAACACAACCACCGGCCAAAACGTGAACCAAGTGCTCTTTTGAGTTTGGGAATCAGTGGATCTGCTCTCTAATCAAGTTTGACACCTTTTTCTCTCAAGGATTGATGGATAAATCACAAGGGAAAACTTGAGAGCTTTGGGCACCAATAGAGGAGAGAGAGAACAAGAGTTGAGCCAAAAGGCGTCAGTCTAAAAAGCTAGGAGAGGAAGAAGACTGTTGTGAGGGAAGGGAAGAGGTATAAATACCTCCCTAGGTCCCAATGGTCAGATAAGTCACGGCAGTGCCACGTCTTACCCGTGGCAGTGCCGCTCTGCGGCATAACCATGCCTTAGGTGCTGCACTGCCGCACCAAGCCTGACAGCAGAGATAAAAGAGTGTTGAGCAAGCTGTCATAGCTGAACTTTTGAGGATGCTTGTGTGAAAGATTGAGCACTTGGTAGCACAAGTTGGCTTAAGCATCGTGTCTTCCTTTGTATTATGGCTTTTTCTATACTCAAATTCAAAATATAAAAGAATATAAACCTCTGTTGAGTTTGAAGCAGTCAACATTTGTAGTTGGGGGCTCCTCCGTTTTGTATGATATCCTCGATTCTAAATTTCCTGCTTGTCATCTTGATAAATCTCATTAGTCCCCTAATTGAGCGGTCATTATCACCAAAACCCACAATTATGGCTTGATTGCACTTTCAGAAAGTACTTAACACAAGCAATCTAAAGTTTTACATCATATAAGTAATAAAGTTTAATATCACAACCATTGATATTATGTACAACTTTACAATCACATCACTCAAAGATGATCCTTTATACGCAAAACATGGGACCACCAAAACCGCTACAAATGAATTATGTACACCCACGGACCCACCCACATGCTTTGGCTTACATAAAGTCATCAAAGTTGTAACATATAATCTTGGGGGGGGTTGATGGTAAAGGCTCTTTTCTTTTAATAAAGAGTATACTTCCCATACATTTCTCTTTACAAATATGGTGTCCCATTATAAAAGGAAAAGAAGTAATGTATAGTTGTTTCTTTTGAATAATTTAGCTTTGAATATAGTTTTTATCAATGCATTCTTCCATCCATTCGTAGCCAACCTCATCTTTAGGCTAAATCTATAACTTTTCAATATATTCTTTAGGACATTCATAACCGTCCTCATCTTTAGGCTAAGTGTATAACTTTTTAATACATTCTTTAAGTCATTCGTAATTGTCCTCATCTTTAGGCTAAATGTATAACTTTTCAATACACTCTTTAAGCCATTCGTAACCATCCTCTCATCTTTTGGCTAGGTGCTATTGATGTGTGGTCTAACTAGTTAGCAACAATTATTAACATCATAAGGCTCGCTACCTTGTGCTATTGATGTGTGGTCTAAATAGTTTGTAGTTATATGTTACAATTTAGGTGACAAAAGATTACCCTCTTAAGATGTCATATATTACTACTATAAACTTGAGTTTGATATTAAGTAGCATAAGCGTAGGATTGTTATGAGATTTCTAAATCTTGACTAAGGGAAATAATATTAAACTTTGTAGAAGGTAACCTCAATAATTCAACAAAATTTTAACAAGCACGGGACAAAAATATACTTTGGGAGTCTACTTCAAATACACATAAACACAAAACTAACCAATTTTACAACACTTGATATGGATCGACAAGCCTAACTACTTGTTGTGATTTATTCACCTCCTTAACATAGTTTTTTAAGAGAGAGACACCATAATACATGTTCAATCTAGTGGTGATATTTATGATAAAGGCGTTGCAATTAAGCATGGTAGGTATATTTATTTGCGAATTCCATCATGTCTCTTCCATTAAAAGATCATAAAAACTTAAATCATGTCTACCGCTAAAAGACTCCTTTATTTTAACAACCAAGCGACAATGTATTTTGATACCACATAACTTTAAATGCTTGCGTATCCTAATTCCAAAATGTGATTGCCTTTACGAGCTTTACAATACTAACTATATCGAAAACATGATCAGCTTTACATCAATGACCGTATCCAAAACGCGACCAACTCATGGTTGGATGTTGTGGTTTTATTGATGTGTCCAACAAATTCTTAGAAATCCAACAAACCAAGTGGCGTCATCAATGGTATAAGCAACGTCCTATTAATCACTCTAGGTATATTTCTTCAACAAATAATCTCTTTATCATATCTATTTTTATCAAAAAGTTGCCAAAAAACTAGACTTAAGAGATATTGAACACCACTCGGTCACGTGAGCGGCTCTACAAACTTTATAGCATTAACTATATCGAAAGCGTGACCGCCTTTATAGGCTTTACAACATTGGCGGTATCCAAAACAAGGCCAGCCCATCGACCATATACCGACATCCATGGTTAGCCGCCGTGGTTTTGTTAATCTACCCTATAAATTTCTAGAAATCCGACCAAACAAGCGGCGACATCAATGGTATAAGCAACCGTCCTATTAATCACTATAGATATATTTATTTGACAAATAATCTCTTCGTCATATCTCTTTTATAAAAAAATTCACCTAAAAACTAGACTCGTGTGATATCGAACACCACCAAAACATGACCAGCTCTATGAGCTTTATAGCATTGACTATATCGAAAATGTGACTGGCTTTATATCATTAGCTGTATCCAAAACGTGACTAGCTCATTGACCATATACCGACATTCATGGTTGGCTGCCCTTGTTTTATTAATCCGTCCTATACATTCTTAGAAATCCGACCAAATAAGCGGTTGGCCGCCGTGGTTTTATTAACCTACCCTATAAATCCTTAGAAATCCAACCAAACAAAGCGGCTGGCCACCGTGGTTTTATTAATATGTCCTATAAATTCTTAGAAATATGATCAAACAAGCGGCGACATTAGTGGTATAAGCAACCGTCCTATTAATCACTCTAGGTATATTTATTCGGCAAATAATCTCTTTATCATATCTCTTTTATAAAAAAATTCATCAAAAACTAGACTCATGTGATATCTAGCACCACCAAAACGTGACCGGCTCTACGAGCTTTATAGCATTTACTATATCGAAAACGTGACCAGCTTTATAGGCTTTATAGCATTCCCAAAACATGACTGACTCATTGACCATAGACCAACATTCATGGTTGGACGCTGTGGTTTTATTAATTCGCCCTATAAATTCTTAGAAATCCAACCAAACAAGTGGTTGGCCGCCATAGTTTTATTAATCTGCCCTATAAATTCTTAGAAATCCGACCAAACAAGCGACGACATCAGTGGTATAAGCAACCGTCCTATTAATCACTCTAGGTATATTATTTGGCAAATTATCTCTACACCCTATCTCTTTTATCAAAAGTCAGTCGAAAAACTAGACTCATGTGAAATCAAACACCACCAAAATTTAAAAGGGCCAGATCATTTCCACCGTAGAACCCTTTGTGTGTGTGTGGGGGGGGGGGGGGGGGGGGGGTTGGAGGTACTTATCATGACTCATGTTCATGCCAAAGGCGCATTCACATGGTGAGGTTGCCGATTTAGGAAGGCAGCGCAGCCAGCCGGCAGCCACCGCTAGAGGCGGCGTCCCTCACAAAAACCCACTCCATCCCCCTACAAAGACAACGGCAAGCCAAAAAGAGAGCGGGACACCAACCCGGGCGTCAAAAGCCCCTGTCCAAAACCACGCCGCGCCGCCGCATTCCAGCAAACACCTCGCCGGCGGAGGCGGCGCCCCGGATGGTCGGGTCCGACGTCCCTCCCAGCGGCTCCGGCGCGCCCCCGGGGTCCCCGGAGCGTCCCAGGAAGCGTAAGAGCGGCACCTTGGCCGCGGCCGCGGCCGAGGACGCGTCGCCCAGGCGCGCGACGCGGAGCTCGGCGTCGTCGGCGGCGGCGCAGGTGGACGTGGAAGGCGCGGTGGCGTGGTTGCGGCGCACGGCCGCGGGAGAGCTGTGGGCGGTGCGCGGGCGCAACCGTGGCATCGACGCCGACTTCGAGCCGCTGGGGGCGGTGATCCTGGCGGTGCGGCACGTGCGCTCCGAGCTCGACCCCGACGACCCCGACACGACGTACTACAAGGTGACGCTCTTTCCAGGCCGACTCGCCGGGCGCGTTCGAATTCTTGGGATTTGCGTGCACGAGGATCGCCGTCTTCGCGGCGCTCTTGTCTAGTTTTGTTCTAAAATGGATCAAATATTTGCCGGTGTTTTCAGGTTTGCCGTAGTTCCCGTTCGGGAAAAAAAAAGTTTCGTTAGGCGTCTTTCACTCGTCACCATTGCATGCCGCTGTATTCGTTAGGACACGGAATTATCAGGTGTTGTCTCTCCATGCGTCTCGCTTCCTGAAACCGTTGCTTCAGAGCGAGATTCTCGGCTGTCTGGATGGCAATTAGTTCGTCTGCATCTTTCATTTCTCGTGTCAGGTTCTGTGTCCGAATCCGAATAGTACACGTCATTATTAGTTGGACGGGCCAAGATTGTCTGTATCTTTCATTTCTCGTGCCTTTTATTCTTGTTAGTAATTCTGTTATTGTTTGATATGATTAATTCTGCCTCTTGAGCATGTTTAAGATGATCAAATGGAGAGTGGTGCTATTATTTTTTCACATTATTGTGATGGAATCATCTTGGTCATGGTTTCCATGTCAAGATTATATGTCACATTGATGGATGGTGGTTTTATTGGATGAAATTATTGACTGGAGTTGTGTGTTTGTGGAAGATATTGTTAAATTGTTGCCATCATCGCCAAGTTCTGCTGCTGCCTTGTCATTAACGTTTTTTCACTGTTACCTTGTTTCAGATTTCTGATGGTGTAGTTATTGTTATTTTATTATTTCCTTGATTGAGATTTTTCTGATATTTGTGTCACATGATACGCCTAGCTAGCATATATACTGGAAAATTGCATTGCTAGTTTTATTACCACTCTCATTGTTGACGTTGCAATTTGTAAAAGGTCTACTGTGACTTCGTAGGAGGAATATTTTTGAATTACATTATTATTATGGTTAGATTTTCATTGATTATGTAGGAAAAGGATTTGGGCAAGGCGTTGTTTCTTTATGTTTTATTCTATCACTTATCATGTGTCCTCCGATGGTTATGTATGATAAACGAAGAAAGAATACAAGGAGCCATGACCTGCGCTGTCCGATGTTAGTCAAATCAGATGATTTAACTAATAACAAGTGCAAGTGCTTGTGTATCCCCCTTTCAGATGTTAGTTCATAATAATTTATTTTTGGTCATGCTTCAGGAAATAAGGTATCATAGCTGTAGATATGTGCTCCTGGTCATGCATGAGTAGATTGGTTCTTAGGTTTGCTAAATTGTCATATATCAAGGGTCTCAATACCCCAGTTCTCCTGACTAGTAATAGTAAGTAGAAATGTGTGTGAAAATTGTTTGCCATAAGACTGAACATTTTTTGTGCCCATCTCTGCTGTGAATGAAAAACATATATCGCCGATCCTGCTTCCAATGGCAGTCTTGATAAATATTTGTTGTTATTACTGTTTGATGCCTTCCAATTTTTCATCTACCATTTTTAAGTTTTGTTCAACTCATTGTTAATTCAATTCTGCATGCTGACAGAAACAGAAAAGACATCACAAACAAGACACAAGGAGTTCTGGAAGGAGAGCTGGTGAACTGAGTCACTTATCTAGTTTTCTTGAATCAACGAGGAAACGTATTGGGATAGACCCTGTCACATGTCAAGCTGCTATCCCTGAGTATAATGACCCATCTGAGGAATGTAAGGCTAACTACAGAAATGATAAAGATACCTTACAAAGGATGGGCACGGTGGTCAGACTGCCACCCATTGTGGAGCCACCGAAGACAAGGAAATGTTCTCATCCTGGATCTGAGGATGACAATTGTAAATGTTCTCATCCTGGATCTGAGGCCTGCATAGAAGTTCATGTAAAAGAGGCCTGGAAGAGGGTCAAGTATCAATTGGGTGATCAGGCTTTCAGAAACTGCGGGTTCGGTGCAATGGGTGAGCGAGTTCTGAAGTTATGGACTGCAGAAGAGAATAAAAAACTTGCTGATATTGAGAAGTTGATTCCTCAGAGTAAGAGTTCTGATGAAGACTTCATGAAGGTTGCCTTGAAGCAGTTTAGCTCAGAGAGAACAACAGATTTGGCTAAGTATTACTACAATCTTTTTCTTCCAAGAAGGTTGGCCAGCCTGAATAGAACAGAGGCTACAACCTCCATAGATGTGAGTCCAGATGATGAAGGCAATAATCAAGATGATGACAACAAAGTGCATCGCTCTGAAGAGAAGAGTAAACGCTTTGGATCGTCTTCCAAAAGGTAGCAATATCACTTATGCCTTGAAAACCATTTTACTTTGTGCAACATAGTTCTACCAATCATATGCTATCATTTTCACAGAATATTTTCTGACTAAAGAGCAAATAATTTCTGTCATTTATTAGGGTGTATGTCAACCTTGTTCATTGGGTTTTCCATAATGGTATTGCTGTGTTGCATCTGTAAATTTCCGAACAGAGACACTACCTGCACTATAATAATATCAGCGACCATTTTGGAAGCTGGTAAAGGTCCTTGTTAGTAATATATATATTTAATCAATTAAGGGTTTGTACATCCCTGAAAAATGAAAAAGGGTTTATAACTACATGGAGGTTGGCTATTGCTTTCTACTTATATTGCTAAACCCGCATCAAATTACAATTTGATACTTCTAAAAGGGGATGAGTAATCCAATTTTTCTATTGATCCCGTCAAATGACTTTGAAAGTTTTGTGTATCCTGTCTGTGTACATATCGATTGGTTATGTGTGTGATTCTTATAGTGATTTTTCTTGCTGTAAACAGCAGTCAATTGTGACAGTACTTTATGTCTCTTCCACTTGCAAGTTGAACATGTCTTTTCTCCTTGCTAGTTTGCTAATTGCATTCAGCTTTCTTTGACAGGTCCCGGAAGTAGGAGAAATGCCAAACATGCGGCTGACATTTTGCTGCGGAGTAATAGGAAGTAGGAAAAACCTGAAATACCTTAATTGCTTTGGACAATTGTCCATTCTTTTTTTCAAGTGGAGCTGGGGTAGTCTTCAAGGTTACATATCTCTGGCTATATGCAGTTGGAGCTGGAGTAGAAAAATATCATTTTTGCAGCGCTTGAAAGTGAATGGTTATTAGGTATCGAACTTAAATCAGCTACCAGTGAGTAGACACTGGAGTAAACATATGCTGATGAGTTAGTCTAACCTTTTTTTCTCCTCGAGAGAGTGTATATGTTCATGCATCGTGCCATTTTGTATGGACGCACATAATAGCAAATCGAGAAAAAAATACATGGTATAGAGATGCAGAGAGTTTACCAGATATGTTGGTCACCATTTATGGATTGTTATGACATACATCCTGGTAGCGAAATTTTGCTCAGGCAGTTTGATGGTTGTTGGAAAATCTCATATTTTTCTCTCTGCTCCTTGATGAGTTGCTTTCTTATAACTTGTCATGCCTATTGGCAGACTGTGGTATGCTGGCACAGAGAAATCATTATGGAAAACTCACTGATGCCACTGGGTATCCAATACCCGTACCCATCAATGACCCAATACACAAACAACTCATACTTGCGGACATCTCAGAAAAGAGTAAATGCAAACGGTATATTCCACAAGTAACTTTCTCTAGTAAATGGTTGAAACTGGTGTACCTGGTAACTATACTATACTACGAGAGAGGCCTTGCAGGCAAGTAATTATTCCCTCGGTTTCAAATTATAAGGTGTTTTGTTTTTTTCTAGATATATTGTTTTTACTATATATCTAGACATAATGTATATCTAAATGCATATCAAAAACTATATATCTAAAAAGCCAAAACACCTTATAATTTGGAATGGAGGGAGTACTAATCAGTGTACTAATTAAAAGTGTTAGCAAGTAGAACTCAAAATAACAAGCAACATCTTAACAATTTGTAATTTCTTGTCTAGTAATCGCTAGACATTTTCTGCTATACACTATGATATTAATACCAGCGATAAAATAGAGTGTTACAATAGCTCATGCTACCCAACACAACATAATTAATCGGACAAAAGACCACCTCTCTTGCGCAAAACAGTGGCCACAAGTAGAAACATTCCATTATACAAAAATCAAGTGAATTCCATGTTCTGCAATACTTGCCCACTTCATAAACCAGAATCAATTGAAATGATTTCATGCTTTTGAGCTAAACAACAATTCAAGCTGTCGTTAGCACCCATTTGTTTGATTAAAACTCACAAGATAAAGCTAGTTTGTTCAATAAGGAGAGGTACGACCATTGTATGGCAGTACAAATTAGGACATTAGTTGAATGTCTTTCTGTGATCACAGGGAGGAAAAAATAGTAGAGAAATTCTTCTGTGACTAGCGACTACAGTACATCTGGGATGCAATAGTGATCTCCAAAATTGAATATTAAGTATGAAATTTCCAGACAATAGAGAGAAATATCTTGAAATTGAATTGCCTTAGTAAATAAAAGGCCATTTAACTTCGACTAGAAGACAACTGCAATCGGTTGAACTAGATCAATGACACAAAGGATTGTACAACAATTGGCTTCAGACCCAGTTACCAGATTATCAATGTGGGTGACAGTATATATTCAACGTAACCACTGGATGCTCAACAGTAAAAAAGTCATTTCAGTAGATATGGGCATCCTAGAAAACTTCAAGAAAATTTTACTTTTAAATGGCTAGACAAACTGTCCATTTCATTCAAAATAATGGCAGACCTCATGATAGAGAAGTCATTTACAGGTGCATGTTTGTAGGAGCAAATAAAAGTGTGCTTTGCCTAAAAAAAAGTGTAATTCAGAAAAAGGATCGGCATGTAGATGTCAATTAATATCCTGTAAACCATGCGGGAGGTGGTGTCCACAAACCACAGTGGCCTTATATGTCTGCCTCATGCTCCAGTATAAACCATTTGTTTACACCCTCAGAACTCTTTGTTTTCCTTTCTTTGCTATTAGATCCGTGTCTTAATCCATCTCTCTAATCCTGATTCTAGAGTTTTTGATGCACTGCATTACAGGATCTCATATAGTTTGAAAATTTTGGCTATTCCTGACTGGGCCTGGTGTCCTACAGCTCTTGTAAATTATAGAAGCATCCACCAACACTCACTGCCTTTCTTCTCCTCTTTGTCTGTGGACACATACATAGGCTTTGCAAATCTGTCAAGTGTGTTGACAAGAAGATTGGACAGATCAGCCTCACCAGTGAAAGTGAAATCATCTTCCTTGATAGCCTCCTCATCTGCAACTGCTGCCTTGTCAGAAGCATCTGCTGCATTGGGCTTGGACTCAACGCCAAGGATTCGTGAATCCTCCAGTTTTGGCAGCGAAGCAAACTGGCGAACATTACTGATTTGCTCTCGTTTTTCTGTGGTTTATGGCAAAGATGCATTAAGATACACAATTAATTGATAGAAAGGTTCACAAAAGCACAGAGTTCAGAAAATCACAATGTTGGGAGAGATAAAAAAAGCAAAGATCAAATCTATGAATTTAGTGACTATAGGCCCTGTTCGCTTGAACTTATCAGCTATACTGTTTCAGCGAAATAACAGTGTTTTTCTCTCACAACAAATCAACATCAGCATCAGCATCAACCGTTTTTTCCAGCCAACCGAACAGGGCCTATGTGACCGGTGAGGCATCTCACCTTCATTGGGCTTTGTTGGCCCTTCCTCCACCACCTCACCCACTTGCTCTTCCTTAGGATCATCACTTACTGTAGGCTCGTTGACTGCATCAGAAGAATCAGCTGCACATTCAGAAACAATAATCACCAGTGTCCCCACGAAATCTACAATTCGATATCAGTAAACGAAGGAATACAAAAACCATCATTCAAGCAATAAAAAAAATACACGAGTTAATCAGGAGAAGCGAGAACTTGACCTCACCTTTCTGACCCTTCCGTGCTGCCACCCTCACCTTGGATCTTGCTGACCTCCTCCTCTTTGCCGTGGCCACTTCTTCTGCCTCCACAGCTGCCATAGCCTCTGGTGCCACTGTCACGTGGCCTGGCTGCACCTCCTCCCGTGCCTTATACACTGTGGCCCTCCTTGTCTCATTCTTGCCTTCCTGTGGTTTTGCGGCCTCCTCCACCTTGGGAACAACTTCATCCGCTTTAGGGTCAACTTCAGGCCCTATGGTTGTGTCAGAAGAATCAGCTGCACATTCAGAAATTAGCAGATAGCTCATGAACAATACCAAGTCTACAATTTCAAATTACAACATACTACTAATATTTCAGCATCAAAATCAGAACTAAGCAATCAAAGTTAATCAGGGGAGGCGAGAACTTATCCTCACCTTTCTGCCCCTTCCGTGCTGCCGCTGCTACCTTGGATCTTGTGGACCTTCTCGTCCTTTTCTTCGTCGTGGCCACCTCTTCCGCCGTCCTCTGATCCTGCTGCAAATCCTCATGTGTCTTATATGGCGCTGCTCTCCTCGTCATGTTTTGACCTTCCTGTGGCTTTGCGACCTCTTCTTCCACCATAATGACTACTGCATGCTCTTCAGAATCACCGCAGCTCTTATCTGAAACTACTGCAGACGCAATGGCCGCACCGGAAGAATCAGCTGCATATTCAGAAAATTAGTTTTTTTTAAGAAACTGGAGGGGCCGAAGCCCCTACAGTATTCAGAAAATTAGTTTTAGGGACTGTTGACCAACATTAGCCAAATTAACCTTTCACAAAGTATGGTAAACGAAGGACTCTTACTTGTAAATTACAGGAAATCAGCACGGAAATCAATCGATACAAGTTACGCAGGGGAAGCGTGAACTTGTCCTAACCTTTGTGCTCCTTCCGGACTGCCGCTTGTACGTCCTCTTTTCTGATCCAACGCGATCTTCACCTTGGATCTCGCTGACCTTCTCGTCCTCATTCCTACGGCCACCTCTTCCGCATCCACAGCCTCCTCTGCCACCGTCCTCTTGTTCCCCGGCAAGGCGTGTGGGGCCGGCACCACCTCCTCCTCCATCTTACGTGCCCCGGCCTTCCTTGTCTTCCCACGTGCACGGCCACCGCGAGGGAGCGGACACCCGAGCTCCTGCTCCTCTCCGATCGCCTCTGCTGCCTCCGGGGCCACCGCGGCCTTCCGTGCAGCAGTCCTCTGGCACCCCTGCAAGGTTAGGTCTGGCACATCCTCTTCCGTATTACCCGCTGCGACCATCCTTGTTTTGGCCCGCGCACGGCTGCCGCGGGGGAGCAGAGACCCGTGCGTCTGCTCCTCCATGATAGTCACCTCCTTCATCGCCGACATCGGCGGCGCCGTCCTCCCGATCTCGTCGGTCCTGTCCACCTAATCAACACAGCAAACAACCTCCACGCGCATCAAATCGACCACCCCAGTTGCCCCCAAACGCCCCACGAACACGCATGGGAATAGATCCACAGAGATTCACCACGAACAAAAGGAATAGAATTGGGGATGCTCACCGAGGGGAGGCACCGAAGCGCTTCCGCCATAGCCGCGTTGGACATGTTCGCGCGGATGCCATTGCTCTTGCAGAGCGCCTGCAGCTCTCGACGCGAGAGGGAGTCGAAATCCATGGCCGCCGCCGCCGCCGCCGCCTCTCTCGCGTTTCCCCTTCCTTTTAGTGCCTTCTCATCCGGGCTCCTCTCGATCCGCTGCTCGTTTGAATATTTGAACGTTAGAAGAAGCGCTGCTCAGTGTGGGCCATGGTGGTGCTTGGTGTAACCTACCTTCCGGGGCCGCTGCATGTGGGCCAACTCCAGGTCGCCTGCTTTGCCATCAGCGGGCCGGGGCAAACGGACGGCCGCGATGCGTGGGCAACTTCACATGGTGGCAGTGACATGGCACACCTGCACACACTTTCCCCGGTGATAGACGAAGAGAGTTGGTTGCATCGTGCCGCTAATAAAATAGTTAATTATTAGCTGGATCTCTAAATAATAACTATCGCACTAATTGATTAAGTTAGATAATAGTAGCTAATAGTTATCTTAGTAACGTTTTTCATGTGCATTCAAACACCCTCTAACTAATAGTTAGCTAGCTAATATTAAATGGATCTGTCTAGATGACATTTAGTCATCTAGCTATATTTACACTCTTCTATTACTATATTTACACTAATTTTTTCAGGATAATATATAGGACAGATTGGTGAAATCTCCGGCAAATATAAGCCAAATTTTCAAAAAAAAATTATAATTTTTTTCTATGAACTCTAGATACCAGAAAAATATATGTCAAATTATTCACAAATATCGTCAAATTGTTTATAAATATACAAATTTACAAATAGAAGAACGGAGAGAGAGTGCGTTGAATTGCAAAGAAGAAAACTTGATTGCAGTATACGGAGTACCATACAAAAAAATATATCAGCTGCACTAAAGAGTACACATCTCTGATCTTCCGTTCAACCAAACCGTGAAGCGCAGGCAGGACGTTCTTCTTCATCCTATTCCTACCTGATTAACGTTTCATTTTTCTTTTCATTTCAGACGTTCTTCCATTCCCTAAAAAATGGCATGGCTCACATGCGTACCCTTCCTGGGCAACATAATTTAATTCCAAAAGTGTTCATATGACACCCACAACGGTCAGGGGTACGCCCATCGGTGCTCGCTCCACCCGCGTATTGGTCAGCTGTAAGCTCTCGAGAAAATGGACCAGAAAAAGCAGCAATAATGCGCAGGCCATCATCCTCGGCATGCCATGCCATGCGGGTCCTGTTGATCCAGCGGCCGGACGGCGACATCTCCGCTGAACAGCGTCGAGTCGTCGCCCCATATCAACGCCCTCGCAGCGCCGGAGATGGAGCGCAGTCGGCACCAGATGAGAGCTGCCTGGCCAGCAACAAAGGAGGCGACAAAGCAGCAGCAAAAGCGCCGAGCTTTCGGGCGCCAGCGCCCACAGCCACAGCCACCATGAGAAGGCTACGGAGTGGCCTTCTGGGGTGGCAGCGGTTCCTTCAGGAGCGGCGAAGGAGCGCCGGCGAGATGCTTCGTGCCGCGGACACCGTGTAAGATCTAACAGCCTAGAATTCGATTGAGGGATGGACCAAAATCACTCGGTTGAGAGTTAGCAATTCTGTATTAAATATGAGTTATTAGCCAGCTAACTATTATTAACAGATAGTGAATCTAATTCGCAAAAAAAAAGTAGATAGTGAATCCAAACAAGATCTACGTGGTGGCAAGCCAAGCGCGTCCTCAAGCAAAATCAATGGGCGTTCATGTAATGTTGGCGACAGCAAATCAGCCATGGATGCAGGCGCCGGCGCCACCGACGGCCCCAGGCTTTCCGGCGGCGCCCTCGCCACGACCTTCAGGCGCGAGGCGTGACCGGCTGGCGACGTCCCCAGACGAGCGGCCGTTGGATATGGCACGACCTCCATCTCCATCGGACGGTCATAATTGCTTCTGTATTATTGTACTGCAATGAGCCAATGATCCATCCGAAAGTTTTGAATGTAGCTTCCAGCAAAGCACGTATTCCTACATTCTTACACTACGAGCGCGATTGAGGTGGCAAACTAAATTCTTGATATATGTAGAGAGCTAGTAACAAAAGTTCCTCATTCTTGTGTCCCCTTGTTGTTTCTTCACTAACAAATTTTGATTACGAGTGCGTTTTTTTTTTTGAAGAACGATTACGAGTGCGTTGAATTGGACCAGAAAAGTACGCACTTCTTTGTCATGTCCGAAAACTTGATTGCAGTATACGGAGTACAAGATAACAAAGTTTTACATACAAAAAAAATATATCAGCTGCACTAAAGATTTGTACTAATCTGACCAAGTCTGATTGCTACGTCCGTTCCAACCAAACCGTGACAGCGCAGGCAGGACGTTCTTCTTCATCCTATTCCTACCTGATTAACGTTTCATTTTTCTTTTCATTTCAGACGTTCTTCCATTCCCTAAAAAATGGCATGGCTCACATGCGTACCTTTGCTGGGCAACATAATTTATAACATGTTCATTTGAATTTATCAATCGGCTTATCAACTAAAATCTATAATATTTCTATCTTACATTAAACCAGCCGAACAGGTTCATATGACAATTGTATAATTAATGGTCAGTCTGGTACTGGTACCTTGTCAAGAAACCATTGGTGCTCCGCTCTGAAGAAAATGGACCAGAAAGAAGCAGCAATAATGCGCAGGCCATCATCCTCGGCATGCCATGCGGGTCCCGTTGACCCAGCGGCCGGACGGCGACAGCAACCACGCCCCGCTCCGCTGAACAGCGTCGAGTCGTCGCCCCATATCAACGCCCTCGCAGCGCCGGAGATGGAGCGCAGTCGGCACCAGATGAGAGCTGCCTCCCCCCGATGGCATCATGGCCAGCAACATCAAGGAGGCAGTCCAGCAGCAGCAGTAAAAGCGCCGAGCTTTCGGGCGCCAGCGCTCACAGCCACAGCCACCATGGCCGGGCGGCCTCAAAACCATCCACACTGGAAAGGGACCTACGTGTGAATAATCTGACGGCTTCGCGTTTGGCATCTTTCTTAATTTTCTTTACATACTTTCCTTTTATGCAATTTCTACATTGTTCTAAATCAGAGCTCTAATGGAGGAAGAATATCATTCTTAACTAGTCTTTCTATTTTCCTCCTCGAAATATGGCCTAAGAATATCTCTCATCCTCTTAAATATCTTTATATTCTATCTCCTTTATGGCAAAAGCGACAGTGCCATCTCGACAACGCATCGTGAGCTCTAATTTCCTTCTTTTATGCCATGATGAGGATACATTCACATCACCTCATTTGTAAGATGGCTCATCATTGTCCAAACATGAAAACACTCCTCCCAGGTCAGCAGCAGCTTTCTTCGTCCATCTTTAAGTAGCACCTTCTCTCATCGTGAACCGGGTTCTGCTGAGCGGCAGCAGCAGCGGCTTTCATCCTCGCAAAAGTGTCAAACTCTTTTGGCAAGGCGCAGCGGGTCGCCGGCGCACCAGCTGCTTCGTGCCGCGGAGGCAGGTCACGACCGAGGAAGAGGAGGAGCAGAAGAAGAGCAGGCGCTCCGAGTGCCATGTCTCCATAGATTCAGGTATCGGTGCAGTCATGTTTCCTCTTTCCCCTCTTCTTCAGTAGCAGTAGGTTCATATCAATCCCGTGGAATCCTATCATGGATGAAATGAAGCAAACTTCTCTGCTTAAAATTAGCACCAAGCAAGCATTAAACTTTCGAATTACGAAAAATCTGAGCGTGTGGAAGCTTCGCAAATTTCGAGTGCAGCAGGATCATGGCAAGAAGGAAGGGCTCTCACCATTGCTGACGTGTCCAAGGCAACATCAAACTTCAGTGAAAAGAACATGACAAGGCAGGGACGCTCAAGCACCATGTACAGAGGAAAGCTCAAGGATGGGTCTCAGATCGCCGTCAAATGTGTTAGAAAGGTTAGGAATCGAAGATCATAATCATCCGTGTTTTGGATTGCTCATAGAGCAGGTGAATTGCAGTAATGTTACTAATTAGCTCTCCTCTTCTGTTGCCTCAGCTGAACGGTCAGAATCTGACAGCTGAACTCTGGAGGGAGCTTGAGACTCTTGAGAAGATTGAGCATAGGAATCTGGCGAGGCTCTTCGGATTCTTTGAGCGCACAGCTGACAGTCTCGTCGTAGTTGAGTATGTCAGCAATGGTTCCTTGAGGGAACATTTGGATGGTATGCATTGTTGCTATGGATCATCCTATTCATTGTGCTAGTTTTTCATCATCGTTATTGCAGCTGCCAGTAGACCACTGTTTTAATATAAACTGTTCTGTTCTATACTTCTGCCATAGAATCTGCATCCACAATCCATGTTGCTTTTGTTTCCGCCGGATGCTGGAACTGTAATAATGAATGGTCGAGTGCATAGAATCTGATACTGATCCATTTTGCGGTGCGAAAAAAAAACCCTGCAGAATCCTGTGGAAATGGTTTAGAACTCGCGCAACGGCTCAACATCGCGATCGACGTTGCTCAGGGCATCACCTACCTGCACGAGTACAAAGGTACGAAGCCGATTCAGTATATGTTCTTCAGATCAAACTGTTGTGTGATTGTTGCAACGCATGGTCAAACAGAGTAGATTGGTATGCTACTATGCTAGAACAAGAAATGGAGCCTGTCTGATTGTCTGAAACTCACAAGGTATCATGGTGAGTTGCAGAGCATCCGGTCATCCATGGAGGCATCCGGTCGTCGAGCGTGCTGCTGACCGACGCACTGACGGCGAAGGTGGCCGGCTTTGGGCTGGCCGGGACGGCGGCCTCGGGCTCGGGCTCAGGCTCAGGCTCGGATGCAACGCCGGCGAAGGGCGCTGCCGGGTACGTGGACCCGGAGTACCTGAGCACGTACCAGCTGACCGACAAGAGCGACGTGTACGCCTTCGGCGTCCTCCTCGTCGAGCTCGTCACCGGCCGGCCGCCCATCGAACGCAGCCGCGGCGGCGAGGCCCGGCTCACCACCAGATGGGTAAGAAAAGAAACAAACAATCCGAGAATTGCATATGTAAGCGCAGAGCTGCGATGCTCACAGCCATGCCGTGGCCGTGCCATGCAGGCGTTGCAGAGGTGCAGGGCAGGGGAAGCCGTGGTGGCCATGGACCCCAGGATGCGGCGGAGCCCGGCGTCGGTGGCCGCGGTGGAGAGGACGCTGGCGCTGGCAGCGCAGTGCGTGGCGACGGCCAGGGATGACCGGCCGTCGATGCGGCGGTGCAGCGAGCTGCTGTGGGCCATCCGGAGAGACTACCACCGCCAGGATGAGCCGCGCTGCGCCGCCGTCGCGGAGGAACGAAGCGACGAGTGGTTCGTGAGGTAGCTTAAGTTTGTAAACCATTCAGAGGCTACAGTCGGATTAGATGATGCGTGCTTTGGATTCATTGCTGTGGAAGTGTAACTAGCCTGTAAGTGGTGTTTTTTTCTGAACTGCCTGCCAAATGGCCCAAATGGTGAACTGCTCATATAAAAATTATGCTCTCACTATAGATTTCTCATGCGTTCGGAGTATGTGCATGTAAAATTTTAGAAACTCATGCAATGACAGTTTTTCATGGTGCCAGGAAATATACATGAACTAAAGCTGCAGATTTTTAAACACCACCTCTATGATTATTATCAAATAACCTATTCATTGCAACCAATACATATATACAACTCAAGTGTCTTGCAGACTCAGACATCAAGCTGTATTCTGACAAAAATGGGACAAAAGTACAGCACACATACTGAAATGCTGTTTAGATCAACACACCAAGGCAACAAGAATACTGTTTCCCAGGCTACACGAAGCCTAGTACAGTGACGCTATGCTTGTTCTTCGGGTGAGCCAATATAATGCATAACAGTTTGAAAATGGCTCATGGTGTGTACAAAATTCTTCTGCAGAACTAAATGGGTCTATAATCCTTGAACTGGTTAACTCTTGGGAGCAATATATTGCATATTTTCTATGCAGATTAAAATCCCCCAGTATATTACAGTGTGAACAAGACATTTAAGTCATGGACATGTTGGGAACTCTAACTTAAGTCACTTTATCTGCTTCAATGGGTCGCCGGCATTTCACCACATGAGTCACTAGTCAATATTCCGTGAAAACGATGGCAGTGGTGCACCTTCTTGGGGGCGCAAGATGACAAGAACACCAAACATTCCAAGCATTGGCAGTAGCAGAAGCCATTTCAGCAGCTTATAGTAATGCATGTGGAAGGTGAGTGAGAACTCATCGGAGAAATACAGCCCTTTTTTATCAACCATCTCCACGACTACAGTTCCAGTAGTTCTAACAGGAACAGTGGGAAGCATCATTCTTTGCCTCCCTGGTTGATGATACACACCACTGGCCACAATGCGCCTATCTCCTTGATAATTCCCTGGAACAAGTAAAGTTATCTGAAATTGAACCATCAAACAAAGGTAGTCGAAGTTAGTGTACATATTTTAGCTCATTCCTCACGCGAGACTTTGGGGGTGAGAATATACCGTAACGTTATAAGGAGCTTGATTCCCATAGGGCACTCTGTACTTGTCAACTATTTCAAACTCTACCCAGAAATTCTTGCCCTCTTCATCACGGAAGGTCCTGGAACCATGCCTAACATAAATACCTTCACGGTTGTACTGATATGCAGCATTATTCCTTCCTTGGTTTGATGACCTCCATTCCTGCCATCAAATTAGAATGAGAAGCTTGGTTGAATGAGAAATTCTCTCTATCATGCTAACCAAGTGTTTTACAAAGTTTAAACATCCAAAAATCGAAAGAATAAAAATCTTAAAGGAGATATGTGATTCTGAAGTTCAAACAAGGTTCAAGCATAGGTTGCAAAGGGTTAACCGAGAGACCAATGCTCTATCCGAGATGAGTCAAATAATCTAAAGTAAAATGAAGACCTGCAGAAACAGATTGCCAACCTTAAGTGGATGGTGTGGTGACTGCGTGGAAAAGCAGAAGACGTTTCCATTCATAGTGGTAACAATAAGATCAAGGTCATCTCCACCATCCACATTGTCAGCCAAAACCATAGTGTACCTGCCAGTCAAAGTGCAACAATCAACCGACTTTATTGAAGTGCAGTACATAATCCCCAACAATGATATCAAACATCTAGCAAAGCAAAGAAGATATGGCATACGAGGTCTCTCCAATGTCAACAACATCAGCACAGCCACTTGATCCCTCAATCAGATATAAATAACCATCAAAGGATGTTGTAGCAAGAGTTAGCCCTTTTGCATTTTCTCCATGTTTACTCATGTCGAGCAGTAGAACAGGACTCATGATTCTTCCATGTGTTCTATATGGGAAAGGTTGGATTTTTGAGCCATCCTTTCCACTGAGAACATAGATGTTTCCTGACACAGTTGGTACCACAACATCAGTGTGGCCATCTCCATTGACATCACCAACAGTAGGTCTCTGTCATCATATGATAATAATCAGGCTGCATTATAAAAATCGTAGCCAAGTAATAACAAAAGGAATATAAAGTAAATGAAATGGTGGGGTGAAAGTATATATGATATCTTCTTTTGGCCTGAAACTGAGTTATAATGTTCTCAGTCAGTATAGCATTGACCCCATTTGGGGGGAGCTTCCTGGGGAAGCAAAAGCTCCCACAAACAGGGCCATAGCACAAGTTTAAGACGAAATAGGAGAATCTCTAAGTAAACAATCTAAGCAAGATTTTGGATGTATGTATTGCCTTGAGCTAAACTAAGAATGCATCTTCAGCACATGCGTCACTTGCAGTGTACAGATAATGACAAGACGTGTAGTGCCTTGCGATATAGATAAATAACGAGCTAACTAAGCAACAATCAATCAACATCTTATACAAGAGAAATACATGAAGCTTGCCTGTGGAATCAGACTCTTTAGATGCACTTCCCAAATTTCTTCTCCCTCAGCAGTCCATGCTGCTACATTTCCATGGGAATCAGTGGTAACCATCTCGATTTTGCCATCATCATTGATGTCCGCAGCAATGACTGGTGCATGGATCTCTGCCATCTCAAGGGGGAATTTGTTCCTAACCTTACCTAATTCACAGAATCAAAATAAGAAGAGGGCATGTATACTTTTACGTATATAAACAGTTTAGCAGCGCACAGAAGGCAAGAGGTGTGTGTCATTTCATTCAGATTTAAGAAAGGGTACCAAAGTACAACACCACATACAAGACACCTAGAACCCAACACACCAATACAGAACATATATTACATTCCCCCCTCCCATTCAATCAACCAAACCAACGCGATTTTTCTCATAGATGGGCCAGCAAAGCTTGATTCAATATAGGCCACTAATTTCATTCATGTAGTCTTCTGTTTTACTAGGCAGCAAATCCCTTTTTCTCTAGCCAGAGAATAAATCATATTTTTCTTTCAAGGTGGTGCCTTAGTCAGGAATGGAATACAGACCAGCGAACTGGTGTGCTCTACCCTTTGCCAGGGTGCATTATTAGTTATTATCCCACTATTTGTAACTACACCAATAAATACCACTATTCTAGTAATGAAAGCTACTCCCTCCATTCCAAATTATAAGACGTTTTGGCTTTTCTAAATACATAGTTTTTGCTATCACTTAGATATTCACTATGTCATAATAAAAGCAATGTATCTAGAAAAGCCAAAACGTCTTATAATTTGGAGCGGAGGTAGTATTATTTAGAAACTTGATATGTAGAAAATATAGAGAAAAAACAGCTTAGAACAAAGCTTCCTTTGGATTCAATCCTTAATTAATATATTAAGAGACTACAAACTTACCACGATGATCGATAACATAAAAATAGCCATAGGCAGTTCCAATAAGGATGTCCAAATATCCATCACCATCCAAATCAACCACAGTTGGAGAGGAAAATACATGAGCACGGAAATTTACAGTATCTGTGCTCAAATCAAGCTCTGCAGACCATTTAACTTGCCGAGTGTCAAGGTTAAAGACAACTATACTGCTTGCAACATATTTTCCAATGTCAATTCCTTCCAGTTCTTTTGCATGATTTGAATCAGTATAATATCTGCAAATAAAAGCCAGCAAACACAAACCAAAAATTCTCAAGTGAGTTTGTGGTAGCAAGTTCTGTTAAAAAAACAGTTTTCATCAATCATAAAAGCAAGACTAACAAACACCTAGCATTGGCACCAAAGATAACACATCAAGTTCACGACTAACACCCGATTTGGCACATTTTTGCTGACAAAAAAATCTGTGCCTGCCAGTTTTGTGAAAGGAAAGTACAAAATCTGGTGACAAAGTTTATTACAAGAACCAGGGAAGCTAAGGTTCAATCTGAATAAGACCTACACATGATGATGTAGAAATAAAGTTTTGTGATTTTATTCTTGGGACACAAGTTGCACATATGTTCCTTTTTTTTCATTTTCAAGGCCACTTAAGTTCAAATTCACATTGATAGACAAACCGTTAAGCCTCAATTTTATTATGTAAGTAAACCAAATTTTAATCAATTTGAAGTCATTATTAAGAAGTCATGAGTAACTTGAACAGGATGTGTTTGTAGCAAAAAGAGAAGCCTTACTCATGATCAAAGAAGTATGATACAGCAATCACCATTTCTTGTACACCATCTTTGTCAATATCTGCGATTACCTGTAGCAAGAATGTGGATAATAACTCAAGCCTATTTATGAGATGGATAGAAAAAACATAAGCAAAAGGAACTAAAGCATCACTTACTGGGGTGGACAGGATGTGGGCATCTATGCTGACATAATCTTCCGCTTTCTCATGTTCTTGTTCTTTCCAGTCCTCATCTCCCCACAAACGATCATCAACATAGTCATCATAATCATAATTGTACTCATCAGGTAGATCTTCTGGATCCCGAAACAAGTCAAATGATGCATCTGCATCTTCATCTAGAGGCTCACTATTTTCAACAGTGGCTGCTACTTTTGCTCCAGAATCACTTTCATTAGTTTTTGAGCTTCCTGTTTGCTCGTCACTTTTGTCAGCTGTTTGAAGCAAGCGTCTCTGAGTATGTGATTGTGATGTATTCTCTGCTTCAGTAGTAACACTAGTGATGCTCCCAGAATGAGTGTCGTTTACATTATTCGGCAACTGCACATTCTCTTGCACTTGGGTAGAATTAAGTTTTGTTTCAACTGAGTGTTGTTCGGATGTATTTTTCAGGGCCTCACCTCCCTCCATACTTCCTACAATGATAAGCATATATAAATAACAACAAAACAGATAATTCTTGCATATTTTACAAAAATGAAATGCACAGAAGGTCCATATCCACTGCAGTTAGAATAGTTGGTCCTGGTGCAACATGCATGCAA